CCTGCCAGATGATTTGCTAGAATCCACATCTGTTTTTGCACGGCTGCTTTCTCCCTTGTTTGTGCAGGAATACCTGAAACGTGTTGGAGTTGCTGTGTGCAGCTGTTCTGTAGATATAACTGTTCTTTGTACAGCAACGCTTGCATCTTCCCTCTGGTGTTGTCAAACACAGTCAATGCTGCAGGCAGAAGCCCCACTGGTTGCTGTCTCACATTTGTGTGAGGCTGGAGGGAGCAGCAGGGCTGTGTTGCAGGCAGTCAGGTGTGTGCAGGGCGGTCACAGAGGGCTGTTCCTCTGGGCAGGTAAGTTGAGTTTCCCTAGGAAGCAGTGGCACCAAACAATGCTCCACAGCTCCTGAAAGCTGCTGTATCCTGCAGGTATGCAGCACTCCACTCCTCTTCCTCCCAAAACTGCTGAAGGGTTATGCTTCAAGAAAGCTTAGATGGGTATTTGACTTAAAACAAGCTCATTAAAGACTTAAAGTAATTAATTTTCATCAGTACCAGCAACAGCAGAGGCTGGAATGTGCTTTCCTGCTCTGATCCATCATTCCATGCTGGAGGAAGTGGTGTGGATTGGTGCAGGCTGGGTCCTGGTGCTCCCAGGGAGCCGTGCCTGCATGTGAACACAGGCACAGCCTCGTGGGATAGTTCTTTGTCAGCCTTGATTGCTGCAGCAAATATGCAGGGGTAACGCACACAGGATCCCTGTGGGAGCTGGATTGAGCAGAATTAGTGATGCAGACACCGTGCTCTTAATGCACAGTCTCAATTAACAGCAGGGCTTTGGGAATGCATCAGACAAAACACTGTCGTGCCCTTCAGGAAGGATCCAGCCCTGTACCTTTGGCTTTATCCACTGGTGCAATGCTGGTTTTTTTTGGAGCCAAGAGTTGTGCCTCTGATTTTGTTAGCAGCCTCAGGGCTGCTGAAGAACGTTTATGAATCTTTTACCTCATTCAGACTATGAGATATAAGGAGGTGCCTGAATATTGGTTGGCACTAAGGGACACAGGTTAGTGGGCACGGCGGCGATGGGTCAGCAGTTGGACTTGATGGGCTTTGTGGTCTTTTTGACTTTATGACATTGTTGTGTGAATCTGGAGGAGTTTTCCTCTCGAGGGCTCAAAGCTGAAGCATTACATCCCCATCTCCACACCGTGATGGGGACGAGGCTTCTTCAGAAAACAAGTGGCAAAGCTTTGAGAGATGTAACCACAGCGTTTTTGTTGCACACCAACAGCCTTTCCCCAGCACAAGCCTCTCAAACTTGTGCTTCTTGTTGCAGATCTGCTCTCTCACGAACAAAAGCTGTCTGAGAGCTTGGACACCGCCTTGAACTCGGCGCTCAGCTCCATGCCATCATTCACAGCCAAGCTGATGAAGAGCCAGCAGGGCGAGGGAGGCTGCAGCACTTCATGGAACATGGGCTCCATCCTCGGTGAGCAGCAAATGGGAGAGGAGAACAGGGACCAGGTTTATAGGGAGGGTTGTGCTGCTGCTCAGCATCTTTCCGTGCCTCTTTGGCCGGTGAGCCGTGGTTGTTCTCAGAGTCCCATCAGATTTTAATGTAGCTGTGAAGCTGGATGTGTTGATCAATGGCACCATCCAAAAGGATGTCTTTGGGATTCAGAGAAGCTGCGTTGGAAGCCCTGGATCTAAAAGATGCCCCTCCACAAGGTGATGTGCTCACTGCTGGCTGCTGCTTTCCCTGGAGGAGGCTCCTGTGTCCCTAAGGCAGGACTGGGCTGGGCAGCTCCCACTGGCTGCCTGTCTCTCTGAATAGCTTTTGATGTTTCACAGTGGCATTAAGCCATTAAGCTTTTTACTGTCCCCTTTTAAATTGCTGCTGTTGAAGAGTTGACTGAGTAGCCGTTTATAGGCGGCGTGTGACAGGAATGCAAGATGATGCCTATGGTGTTTCACGTGGGAATCAGGGATTTTGTTTCAAGTGCTGGAAAAGAGGAAGGGAGGCCAATTCAATCTCAGAAAAAAAGTGAAAAGCTGTATCGTCATCTGTTAAAAGCCTGATGGTGCAAAGGCTGATGTGATCCAGCCCATACCTGGGCTCCAACCCTTCCCTAAGACAGAGCCTTCCCTTTTTTTTAATCACAGAATCCTGATAGCAGCTTTTCAATATCTACATATCAGAAACAAGAAGACAGGTTCTTGAGCAGGATCTGTTGCGATAGGACATGGAGAAACGGTTTTAAACTGAAAGAGGGGAGATTGAGATTGAATATAAGGAAAAAGATTGTTATGGTGAGGTTCAGAGAGGTGGTGGGTGCCCCGTCTCTGGAGACATTCAGGGCAGGCAGGATGGGGCTCTGAGCACCTGATGGAGCTGTGGGTCTCATTATGGGAGATGGATCAGATGGCCTTGAAAGGTCCCTTCCAACACAAATGATTCTAAGATTAAGGTTGGACAAGGCCACGAAGGTCATCTTGTCCAATCCTTACCCTACCACCACCACCATGCCCACCAAATTTTATGGTAGGCTTGGGAAAAAGAGGCTGTGGTCCTGAGCTATGGGCACCTCCAGCCCTCTGTGCCCGGCTCGGGGTGGCCCTTGTCACATGTCCCTGACCACACTGCTTCTCCTCTTGGCTTCGCAGAGCACAGCAGGAGCAGCCAGACCCAGGGATGCACGTCCTGTGGCAAAACCTTCTCATCTTACTTCAAAACAGAGCCCATCTACCAGCTTCCCTGCGGCCACCTCATGTGTCGCCCGTGCTTGGCTGAGAAGCAGAAAGCTCTGTCCATCCTGTGTGTGAGCTGCAAGAGGTCGGTGGCCACGCACGACATCAGGAGGGTCCACTTCTAACAATGCCTGGGGAGGAGAACAGGAGCTGCTGCTGTCCCACGTGTCTGTGTGGGTTATGCAAGGACGACGGCCAGATGAGCATCGTGGAGAAGTCTCCTTGTGCTTACAGAGTAGTGGGGGGGGTTAGAGCATCGTGCCGGAGCAGAAAGCGATCTTGAGGATAATAAAAGCCATAGCTTCTTTAACGAGGAACGTGTATTTATACAGAACTGATTTCCACCTGTCGCACCCGCCCTCTTACCACCATCCCAGTGGCTCAGTGGTTAGCATAGGTGCCTTTTTGGACAGTGAGTTTAGCTTCCCTGTGACTTAAAACCATTTCAACATTTGACGAGCAGCCATTCGGCCGTGGACCAGGAAATGTCCTCGTGGTTGGCAACGTGCAAACGACCCAACTTCTCCCCTCTCCCCCTCCAGCTCCCCTCGCACATCGCTCATCCTTCCCCACTGCAGCAAGGCAGGAGAGGAGCAGCTGATGCCCAAGTGCTGGCAGGGATCTCATCCCTGGACTCGTGTAGAAAAGTCATTGCATTACACAGGACGTCCCCCTCGGTTTCTGTCGTGTGACTGGACCGGCTCCCGTCTGGCTGATAGACATTTAAGCCTTAATAAAATTATGGTTAAAGTCAGGTTCTCTCTCTGACTCGTAATTGGCCTCACTGTGTGTGTTAATGATTTCGTGTGGTGAATCTGTTGGCGGAGTGCTGAATAAATGGGCTGGAAAAAGCCACGTCGACACAAAAAGAAGAGCTGCAGCCCCGCAGCTTTCAGAGGCACTGTGGCACAGCCTTGTGAGCTCTCACCGTGGGGTTTTGGGACTGAACCTCACGTATCCCGCTCGGAGGAGTTCTGCTCTTCACAGAGCTGCTCAGAAAAAGGCCAGAGGGAAAATCACTCAGATGCATTCTGTATGCAGCGCATCCTGAATTCAGTGAGGGTGACAGCAGAGGGTTTTGTCACCTGCACCCCCCTCCACCCCTGCCACTTCATTGATAATTTCTCTCTGCAGAGCCAACATTTCTTACTGATGTTCTGTGCCACTTTCTCTGGGGTAATGAGCCTCCAGCTGAACCACCTACATGTAATACCTCTGTTCTCTTAACAGGTGCTGCCGTGCTGAGCAGCCCATAAAGTTGGTGGCTTTCTGCTCTGAGCAAATAGCAGCCTCATCAAGCAATTGGGACACCGCTCCGTGCCGGCGCTGAGCTGATCTTTCTCCTTGTCTGCACCAGTGGGTGTTCATCATCCATCTCCATTTGCAGCAAAATTGGAAGCCCCCCTATCTTTAACTCATCAGCAGTCAGATTCCTCAAAGTCATGCGATTCGAGGCCAGCAGAAATCTTGCAGGAAGCATCCAGGAGTGATTCAGCTCGCACCTCCTCCGCCCCAAGCTCCCAGCTCCCCAGCTGTGCAGCCATCTCCTTCCCTGTCCTCACTGCTTCCAACGGAGCTCGAAGCTGTGGCAGCATCCCTTCTGCCCAGGAGTTTCTCACCCAGCCTTGCTGCCAGGCAGCGTGGTTCAGGCTGACGTTTTCTCCTTGGGAGCTGGGGAAGAGCCACCGGTGGCCCTCTGCCTGCACAGGCTGTTGTCCCCATCCGTCAGCTGGGCTGATGGCCCCTGCATCCCCTCCCCATTGCCACCATTAAGCCCCATCAGCCATCAGAGCGCGGTGACCGAGTGACTCTCCTCTGATGGACGTGGAGGAGCCCCGGTCGCTGCTAAATATCACGAAAAAAGGGCCAATTTGGGGAACATCACTTTCTCCAGACAGGAGATGGATGCGTTCCCTCTGCAAGCGTGACTTGATAGTGACTGGCACAGAGCAAAGGCTTCTCAAAGTTCCCTGCAGGCAGCTAACTGTGCTGGTTAATCACCTGAAAGCAGCCGTAACCACGTCGTTAGGAGCTCAGCGCTAACGAAGGGGCCTGCAGGAGCTGGGGATGAAATGGAACGTGGCACAGCAGTGCTGGGATGCAGAGAAAGCATCCCGTAGCGTTGCAGGGCGTTGGGTAGCACTGCCCTGCAGGATGCTCCTGACCATCTCTGCCCCACGGCCCCATTGCCTGAGCCTTCCTGATGTCCCCCCACTGTGACCCCAATGTTTTCAGCCCTCAAACACTCTTTTTGTGCTCTGCATCCATCCTCCCTCCCAGCTCCATCCCTCCCCGTCCTCCCCTTGATTTCAGTAAGTGATTCTGCGTTGTGGCTGCGGAGCCTCTGCAACTTGGAAAACATTTTATTAACCTTCCTTGACTTTAAAGAGCATAATTACATTTTAATCTCATATTCCCGCGTTATCATTCCAGACACAGAGTCATTTGAATGCAGCTCGTTCTGACTAATGTAATTTTACGATACAGTAATGAAGAGACAGAGCATGAGCACGAAACTCCCAATTTAGACGTGACATTTTGGGCTTCTTTAAAGAAAAGTTTTCCCATCCCAGTGCTTTCACATCCTCCCCGGCCCTGCAACGCCAGCGGGTTGGACACCCGCTGTGAGCAGCACGGAGGGCCGGGCTGGGCAACGCTAACGATGTTGGTCATTAAGGTACAGCCTTAATGATTCATCAGTGCCACTGCCCTCATCCCTGAGCTCTCAAATCCAGGACCAACTCTCCCAGAGGATGCATCCATCCCAGGCTGGGACTGGGATCGCCGACACCGTAAGCATCACCCCAAGCTGTGAGCCCACCCTTACCCTTCCGTGCCTCAGTTTCTCCTTTGCAGCTCAATTTTTTCTGTTGTTTTCTGCCCCTGTCCCTCATCTTTAGTGCAGATGATTTCAGGGGGTGCTTAAGGTCAGGAAATCATCCCAGCAGTGGGATCACAGCATCCCCACTGCCCGTCCCCATCCCTCCCACAGCCCCTCCTCACCGCCACTGGGACCAGGACGGCGGATGCTCATTAGGCTCCTGATTCCCCTCTGCATATTAATTTCACGTCGTCGAGGTCGCCCTCAGCTTTGCTGGAGTGGGAACATGAGACCAGCAGGAATATTCATGGCGGGGGACGGCTGTCCCCTGGGCTGGGTTGCAGTGGGGGTCTTTGCATCACAGTGAGCCATGGTCCAGCCCTGCTCCCAGTGCTACATCCCTCCCAGAGCTGCAATCTCCAAATTAGCATCCCTTCCCAACAGCAGCATCCTCCAACCCAGCATCACTTTGAAACTAACAACCCTCAAATCAAAATCCCCGCTAAACTGGCATCCTCCAAATTAACCTCCTCCAAAACAACATCTCTCCCCAAATCCTCATCCTCCAAATCAGTATCCTCCCTAAACCAGCATCCCTTCTTCACAAAAACCCCTCTCCAAACCAGAATCCTCCAAAATCACACCTCTCCCCAAATCCTCATCCTCCAAACTGTTATCCTCCCCGGAACAACATCCTCCAAAGTAGCATCCCTTCCCAAACCAGCATCCCCCTCTAAACTGACGTCCTCCAAACCAGCATCCCTCCCCAAATCCTCAGCCTCCAAATCAATATCTCCCCCAAACCATCACCTTCCAAGCCCTCATCCTCCAAACTGGTATTCCTCTTCCAACCAGCATCCTCCAAACTGGTTCCCTCCTAAACCAGCATTCTCTGTACCAGCATCCCTCTCCAAGGCAGCATTCCTCCCTACACCAGTATCCTCTGAAGTAGCATCCCTTCCCAAACCAGCATCCTGCTCTAAACCAACATCCTCCAAACCAGCATCCCTCCCCAAATCCTCATCCTCCAAATCAATATCTTCCCCAAGCCAGCATCTTCCAAACCCTCATCGTCCAAACTGGCGCTCCTTTTCAAAGCAGTCTCTTCCAAACCAGCATCCCTCTCTAAACCCATATCATACAAAACCACATCTCACCCCCAATCCTCATCCTCCAAACTGGTACCTTCCTAAATCAGCACCCTCCAAACCAGCATCCTTCCCTAAACCACTATCCTCCAAACCACCATCCTTTCCCAAACCACCATCCCCCCTAAACCGATACCCTCCAAACCCACACCCCCAAAACCCTCTCTTGCCAATCCAGCTCCCTCCAAACTCTCAGCCCTTCCCAAACTCCCACAACCCTCCCTTTGTCCACACCAGGGGTCCATGCCCCCAGATTTCCTCCTGCTCAGGGGATTCGCTGTCCCTGAGCGCCGCCGCGTGCGCTTCAGCACTGAATCACCTCGATTACAGATTCGATTGGATGCAATTTGGGAAAGAAAACAAGGGGGGGGGGGGGAGAAAAAAAAAGACAACAGCCCGCCCTCCTTCTCCTTCTCCTCCCCCTGGGAAGGGGAGACAGCAGCATAAATAGGCACCAGCACAGCACAGTGCCAGACACACAGCGCAGCCAACGAACAGCAGGGCAGCTTTCCCCACACGCGTGGCATCGCTCTGGGCACACACAGCATGGCAGAGCCTTCGCTGCCCCTCTCCTTCCTCTGTCTCCTGGCTTTATCTTCTGCCTGCTACATCCAGAACTGCCCCCGGGGTGGCAAGAGGGCTTTGGGTGATACAGCTCTGCGGCAGGTATGGAGGCAAGGGGGTAAATGGGGGCTGTGTGGGGTGTGGAAGGTGCCCAACAATTGCTGGGTGTTGGAACTTGCTGGGGGTTGTTGGCATCTGCTGGTTGGTGCCAATCAATCTTTGGGTTGAGAGACAGGGCCAAGAGCTTGGTCCCGAAGTGATGGCTGAGCTGGGGGTACAGGAGCATTTGTGGGGGGACAAAGGAGGGTGGCATCGGGACCAAGCCACTGCGTCAGATGGCAAAGGTGGGGTCAGGCCAGGCGTCACTGTGCGATGTGCAGAAAATAAGTCTTACAGGGGGTCTCTGAGCTCAAGGATGGGCACTCAAACATGCTCTGTCCCTGCAGTGCCTCCCCTGTGGACCAGGGAACAGGGGTCGCTGCTTCGGACCCGGGATCTGCTGCGGTGCAGAGCTGGGCTGCTACCTGGGCACGGCAGAGACACGGCGCTGCGCCGAGGAGGACTACGTGCCTTCACCCTGCCAGGCTGGTGGGCAGCCCTGCGGCTCCGGAGGGCGCTGCGCTGCCAACGGTGTCTGCTGCAGTGCTGGTAAGGGGGACTGGGGGGAGTTTTGGGGGTGATAATGTTCGATGGTAGGAGATGGGGAGTGGGTGGAGATGAGGTGGTTGGGGGTGGGAAGGGTTAATGGGGACTGGGGTGGATTGGGGGGTTGCAAAGGGGTTGCAAAGCACTTTTACAAAGTGCTCTGGTGCTTTGCAAAAGGATCGGCGTCCCTCCCCAAAGCAGCAGCATCCTCCAAACCAGTGTTCTCAAAAATCAGCATCCCCCCAAATTAGCATTCACCTTCTGAACCAGCATCCTTCAAATGGAGGCACAGAGCAGCAGCGACGATGTCGCCAGCTTGGGACAGAGATGGAGCTCAGAGCTCCCTCCCATGTCTCCACCTTGAGACATCCCTCTGCTGGACACACAAACCATAAAAAATCCCTGCTTCCTCATTAATGGGAGCAATAAAGCTGGAGTTTGGGCTTCTCTGATGAGAAACAGATGATCTTTAAGATCCCTCCACCCAATACAACTCAATCCAACTCAACCCAACCCAATTCAACCCAACTCAACTCATCCAAACCCAACCCAGCTCAACCCAACCCATTCTATGATTCTACGACCTGAAACCAACTGCTCCTAACAGTGATGCTTTCCCCACTGCAGACACATGTGCCATGGATGCCGTGTGCCTGGAGGAAGGCAGTGAACAGCCAGAAGAGGCAGAGGAGAAGAACCTGACGGTGCTGGATGGCACAGCTGGGGACCTACTGCTGAGGCTGATGCACCTGGCCAACAGGCAGCAGCAGGGCAAGCAGCCCGGCCTCTGAGCAGCTGGGATATCAGCAGGACCCATTGTAAATAGCAGATCTAATAAAGTCCTCTTGCACTGTGCTGGCTTTGTCTGAGGTGTTGGGGATAAAGGGGGAGTGCTGAGCTCCAGGGTACATTGGGAGCTTGGGGATGGGCAGGATGGGGCCACGTAGGTGGGTGCCATGCCTTCCTCTGACTCCCTGAACCCATTTTCTCATTTCCACTGTTTTCCACCTTGGAGGCTCAGCTCCCATTCGACAGGATTTTGCTGAGCTGGTGCCCCCTGGTGCTAAAAGGGAAAAGTCCCATCCAGAGCCACGATTTGAGGCCATCCATCCTCACCCCAGGATCCCACCAGCATGCATGGATTCCAACCTCCTTTTCACACCCTGTCCCCAGATTTGTGATGGGGATCTGCCTTTGGACGCCGTCACCTCCTTGCACTCTGGGGCTTTGCTGCCTTTGGGAAGTGAGGATTTGGTGTTCAGGTCCTGGCAGAGGTTCTGGGGCTTACACCTCGTACAGATCACATCTCACCCCTCCGTGAGACTTGTGGTTTTGGCCAGGTCCAACATCCTAAATGGGATAAAAAGAAGAAAAACCATCCCAAATTCCCCAACCCTGAAAACCAAACTTGCAAGCTTTGGGTTCCCAGTTGTACCCAACCACGTGTGTTATCCTCCCAAAACGCCCCAAACCCCTCAACGCTGCAAGCTTCGGGATCCCAGTTGAACACAATCACACGTATTATCCTCCCAAAATACCCCAAACACCAAAACCCCAACCCCTCAAAGCCACAAGCTTTAGGTTCCCAGCTGAACCAACCCCAGAAACTATCTTCCCAAAACACCTCAAACTCAAAAACCCAAACATCCCAAAGCCACAAGCTTTGGGTTCCCAGTTGAACCCGATCACACGTATGATCTTCCCATGGCAGCAATACTACCAACACTCACCAAACTGCTCCCACATCATTCCCACAACACCCCCAAACCCGGGGCTATTTGGGCAGATGCTGCCTAAACTTCTTACCCTTTTGGGTTCCCTGCTCCAGGCTGCGTCCCCAAAAGGAGCCACGTCCCTTGTTCCCATCATCCGCCTGTCCCCCTGGGCTGGCATCTGGCTGCATTGTGGAGACAACTGGCCTTTATAATGTCCCCACAGGGAGGTGGCACCTTGGGGTAGTGGTGCTCCCATTGGCCCACGTCACCCCGACACGGTGACCAGCCCCCATCCCACCCCATTAGTATGGAGCCCGGCGCTCCAGCTGCAGCCTCAGCCCGCTCCACACGACCCCACTAAGTGGCAGACCAGACACAGGGCAGAGGGGATGGCAGAGGTGACAGCTCTGTGGCACTGGGCTCTGCATTCCCCAATTAAGCAGGCACTGGGAAGGACCAGGGTCACGGTCTCCATAGACGTAAGCTGTTGTCCAGAGTGAGTGGATTTATTCAAGTCAGGAAGCCCTTAATTGCAGTAACAAAGGCAGGGAGGTTCAGGCCTTGGAGGCTGGCTGCACTCATGCCATGTGTGTGGCTCCAGGGCAGAAGTTACAGGAGATTTGGGTTTTCAAGCATTTGCCAATGGGTAAATTGGGTATTTTTGAGAAGGTGGGATGGTCTAGGGAATGCTCAGTGATGTCACCACGCTCCCAGATGGGACATGCATGCTGCTGAGCACCCCTAACACCAGGTAGAGATGGGCATGAATGACCAGGCACCACATATCACAACCCAAAGCTCTCCAGCTTTGCTTTTTTTTCCTCCCACCAGAAGCGATTCAAAACCCAGCCGGCACAGAGTTTCACTTCAGCTCACCCCATTCACCCTGCTACCAGGAGGACACATCACCAAACTCCAACCCTACCCAACCCATAGGGTTTGGCCAAGCAGGACAAGGAGCCACAAAACCACAGCGTGGCCATCCAAGGTTTCACCCCCAAAAAAAGCACCTGCAGCCCCTGTGCATCCCCTTACAGCGGTCAAAGCGAGCACTAAGCAAATCAGCACCACAGCACCGACCTCACGTCCTCGACCTCCAGTTATTAGCCAAGCCCTTTGGTGTGGAAAGCAACGCCTTGTGTTTTTAACAGGAAATCAATGACGATGGTGCTGGCGTGTATAATTAGCAGGGGGGGCCTATAAATACTGCTGCTGGCCAGGACGGGATCCAGAAGCATCCTGATCCTGCAGCCATGTCCTACAGGGCGCTCACCGTCTGCCTGCTGGGGCTCCTGGCTCTCTCCTCAGCTTGTTACATCCAGAACTGCCCCATCGGGGGCAAGCGTGCCGTGCCAGACATGGACATCAGGAAGGTAGGTCCCTGTGGGCTGGGGGGGCTGTGAGAGCACCGGCCACCCCTTCATCGGGCAGCTCTGAGCTTGCCAAACAGCAAGGTGAGGTGCATGGATGTTATAGGAACTGGGATTCAGAGAGGGGGGAATCTTAAAGCAAAGAAGTTTGGGGATGGGGAGGGAAAAGGAAGCTGCAAAGGCAGCCAGACGCAATATGCTGATGAAAACCCATTGCTTTTTCTCAATGCTGGGAAAAAAAACAATTCCAATGGGGCAGTGGCACCATTTTTATGTAGAATGCTAACTTCTGGAGGGTGAATTTGGTGCATGATCAGCCATTTGACTAAAGCCACGATCGTCATGGAATCATTCGGGTTGGAAAAGATCTCTAAGAGCACCAAGTCCAACCCCAGCACATCCCTCAGTGCCACATCTCCAGCTCTGGAACACCTCCAGGTTTGGGGATTTCAGCACTCTCTGTGCCACCTGTGTCAATGCCTTTTCTTTTGAAGAATTTTTTCCTCATATCCAACCTGAACCTCCACTGGTGCAGTGTGAGGCCATTCCCTCTTATCCTACCACTGTTACCTGGGAGAAAAGATCAACGCCTTTTCACCACTCCTACATGAAAACAAAGCCAGAACCTTCCAGAGCAAACCACTGGGATGAGGACTGAGCTGAGAGCAAGATGAGGACCAAGCACACTGGCAGAGGGCAGGGAGATCAGGCTCAATCCCTAACGCTGTTTCTCAATGCCCTGAGCAGTGCCTGCCCTGCGGCCCCAGGAACAAAGGCCACTGCTTTGGCCCCAACATCTGCTGTGGGGAGGAGCTGGGCTGCTACCTGGGTACCTCTGAAACCCTGCGGTGCCAGGAGGAGAACTTCCTGCCAACGCCCTGTGAGTCTGGGAGGAAAGCCTGCGGCGAGGATGGGGCGAGCTGTGCAGCACCAGGAATCTGCTGCAGCAGTGGTGAGCAACGTGGGGAGACCGGGGGGGGGGGAGCTCACATCTGCCCCAGGGCTGTGGTACAGAACAGGGAGGGGGAGGATGTTACTGAGGGTGGACCTGTCGCTACTGCGGGGCACCGAGGCCGAGTTGTTTGATGTTATTCAAAACAGCACAGGGATGGAGCTCTGAGGGCTGCTTGGTGCTCATTTCCTCTTCTCTTCCTGAGCAGAGGGCTGCGTGCTTGACTCATCTTGCAACCAAGAAATGCTGTTTGCATAGGAGGAAAAACCAGCAGGATCTGCTGTCCCATGGGCTGCACCAGCGCAGCACCCAGCACCATGACTCAGATTGAAGTGATGCTCTTAATTAGAAATAAAACTTGGAGAGAATTAAAAAAGTATTTGTGTGTTTTTCTCCATCCTTGCCTGGTTTAGCTCTAGGATCCTACTGAGACGGTGCTGTTCAGAAGTCCTCTGTGATTTTCTTAATTTTGTTTTGCTAAAAATCATCCTAGAATGGCTCAGGTTGGAGGACACCTTAAATCCATCTAGTTCCACTGGGTGGGCAGGCTGCACTCACCAGCTCAGGCTGCCCAGGGCCCCATCCAACCCAGCTCTGAGCACCTCCACTGACAGGGCACCCACAGCTCTCTGGGCAGCATTACCACCACTCTCTCACCACTCTCTGAGCAAAGAATTTCCTCCTATCTACCTCACATTTCCCCTCTTTTAGTTTAAAACCATTCCCCCTTATCCTATCACTATTACACCATGTAACTAAAAACAGAAAAATCAGTTTGCCTCCTGTTTATAAACTCCCTTCAAGTACCGAAAGGCAAGGGAGGGTTTAAAGGATGAACAGGAACAACAGGTCATTCCACCATAGCAGAAAACACAGAAACAATGATTTATTTCACCTACCAACAAAAAACACAGCGTCTGTGTTTTCTACAAAACAATCCAGACCTTGTTTTCCATCAAAGGCATCCAGAGGGGCAGAAATGCAAACAGTGCTGGGGCCACTGGCACAGGAGGCCATGATGGGCTTGTGCCAGAAGCAGATGTAGTCACAGGGCTCCACAGAGGTAAGGGTGCAAAACCAGTCAGATACAATCTCCCTGCAATATGTTACTGTGCAAGGCCCAACCTCACCTGTGACAGGTGTGCCTTTTTCTTGCACGTATTTAAGACCAATTGAGTGCAGAAAAACAAATCAGAAGGCCAAAGATAAAGGGAGAGTGACCAGAGATTGAGGTGCTTCAGCTGAGTGGAGGAGACAAAAGGATGAGATCTCTCCAGTGCAAAACCACTGAGGATTTGCCTTGGAGTCTGCCTTGCTCCACCTCACCTCCAAGTCAAAGGCAGTGGGGATCCAACCAGAGGGAGGTGGAACTGCAGAGCAACGGGAGCAGAACACCAGCAGCTCCTCCTCCTCCTGCCTGCCTCACTGCAGGACTGAGGCAGAGTGCTGCTCTGCACCTCAAAATAACACCATTTCCCTCCTCTCCCCCTACCTCTGCAACAGCAGCACAGGAAGCAGGCTGTTTGTCCATCAATTCTGTGGCTGATTTGTGCATTAAAAGGAAGAACCCCGGCCTCCAGGTGGAGGCCAGGCCAGCACATCCCCTTCAGCCATGAGACAGAGCTGCTAGGACAGTGCAGTGCGCTTGACGATGCGTCCCTCTTTGTCAATGGCGAAGTTGTAGTTGCGAGGGTTGTCCAGGCACTCCTCAATCCGAGCCTCCAGGTTCTCAGGAGTGATGAAGGTTTTTGCTTCCTCCTGCAGGAAAGAGGGGAGTGCTGGCTGTTAGCACACGCCACCAGAGAAAGCCCCAAGGGTCACCAGAATCTGCCTTTGGGCACATTGGCGCCGCAGGAGGTTGCCAGCACCTCTGCACACACCGCTGCTGGCTATGGGGCTCCTGCAGACGTGCCAACCTCACATCCCAGCAGTCAGTCTGAAAGACAGCACCGTAACTCCCTCACTTGTGATTATTCCTATCCCTGCTGTCTGAGCTCTCACTTAACCTCCGTCCTTTCCTCAAGCTCCAGGAAGGAGCCAACATTTCCCTTCCACAGAACGTGGGCCACCAGAGCGTCACTCACGCAGATGGTGGCAGCCATCTGCCCAGCATCCCCCAGCTTCTCTCACCTGCAGTTGCAGGACTTCTTTCTCTTTCTCCTTCAGAAAGGCCTCCATCACTTTGGCTTTGTTCTCCGCAGCCTGCAGCTTCTGCATCTTCTGTTCTTCCTCTTCTTTCCTAATTCTTTCTTCTCTGCCATTTGGGAAAGAAGAAAACTTATGTTAGGTACTTATGACCTGAGTGAGACACATCAATCCCTGGGGCACCATGCCTGCAGGTCTGAGTGCAGCAGAAATGGAGGAGCAGACCAACAGGCTTCATCCCTTTAACCTCTGCCTGAATTCATCTGCTGACTGCTTTGAGTTTCTGAGTGCACTTCCAATGCTTGACCAGGGGATGGCTCCATGGGAGCAGAATAGGAGTGAAAACAGAGAAATATCTCAGGTTAAAAATCAGGAAGAACTTCTCAGAAAGAGTGGCAATGCATTGGCACAGCTGCCCAGGGAAGTTGTGAAATCACCGTTCCTGGAGGTGCTCAAGAACCACAGAGACATGGTACTGAGGGACATGGCCGTGGGCACTGTGGGGATGGGTTGACAGTTAGACTTCATGATCTTACTGTTTTTTTTCTATGACAGTCACAGCACACCAGCGGCAAGCAGGGATGAACCACTCAGGTTTATTTTTACAAAAACATGGCCTGGTTATCTGGATGTTTTATTTGGTTTTGAAACACAACTTGAAGCAGCAGTTAGCACTGAGGCTGCCTGCCCTCACCTGCGTGCCCGCTGTCGTGCATTCTCAGCATCGTTCCAGGCCATCAGCAAACGGTGCTCCTCTGACAGTGCTGCTGAGTCCTCAGCATCCTTTTGTGCCTCATGCTTCCTCTGCACCACCTCGGACCTGAAGATGGAGCTGCCAAGGAGCAGGGCACTGAGCACAGCCCCACATTCAGCCCACATTCCCAGCGATGCTCAACATCCACCCCTCTGCCAGCCCAATGTAACCCTTCAGCCAGTCCCCACATCACTTTCAGACTCCCCCCAGCTCTCCTCTGCCCCACTGCCACTCTGGACTCCCCCAGACATCTCCTGCCCCAAAACAGCCCCATACCCAATCACATTGTGAATGACAGATGCACTGTAACTCCATATCCTGGCCTAAAACAGTTCCACAGTCCCAATCCCACTTTATACCCCCATACCCTGATCCTGCCCCAAAGTCACTCCAGAATCTCCGCAATCCTCCTCTGCCCTTAAGATACCCTATTACCCACCCTTCAAATACTCCTCCATCCAAACCATCCTGATCCCACCTACAGCAGCCCTATACCCATTCCCTGCACCACATGCACCCTGCATCCACAAAACCCTCCCCTACCCCACCACAGTGACATACCCTGCCCCAAAACGGTTCCAGCAACCAGATCCTGCCCCACAGCAGTCCCACAGCGAGACCAGAATCCTCCCCCTGCCCCATAGCAGCCTCATACCGCACCACAACCCCACATTCCACCCCACAGCAGCCCCATAGCCACATCCGTGCCCCACAGCCACTCTGGACCACTCCCCAAATTATGCTCTGCCCCAAAGCAGTGCTCATACCCACCACATGCCTTGACAGCAGCCCCAGCCCCACCACCAGCCCGACTTTTGCCCCAAAACAGTCCCACAGCCGCCTCACAGAGACCCCCACAGTAGTCCCACACTCTCCTCAAAACTCCTCTGCCCCACAACAGCCCCACACCCGCCCACCCCACCCTCTCTCAGCCCCGCAGGTACCGGAGGGCACCGAGCACCAGGCGGTGCTGCCGGTATCGTTCGGTGACCACATAGAGCTCGGCGGGGTCGACAGGAGGAGGCACTTTCAGCCGCGACGCTTTAGATTTGGCGGGGGGATCGTGCCGCGATTTGCGGCCCCGACACGGCACCAACCACGGGCTCCAAGCAGGGACAGGCCCGGTGACGGCAGCGGGGAAGGAGCGCGGACCGCAATACCTCAGCGCCGCCAACATGGCGGCCAGCAGCAGGCCGGATGTGACGCGAACAAGGCGGGAGTAGCGGACCAATGAGAGGAGAGCGCGGAGCGAGGCACGATGGGAAATGTAGTGCGGCGTGGGGCTGCTCAATGCTGTTGGCGCAGGGCGGCCTCCAGAGGGCGCCACACTGCGGCCCGGAGGGTTGAGGGCATCGGCTGGAGCGGGCGGCACGGCGGGGTCGGGCAGGGCCGGAGTGCGGCGGGGACCTGCGGGTGGGGGGTTGTCCCGAGGGTAATAACCCAGAGTGTGAGGTAAAAACCCCCATGTGTGAGGTAAAAAACCCCCATGTGTGAGTGGTTGATGATCCTATGGAGGAGTAATCTGTGAGATAGTAGTCCCCTGTGTCAGGTAAATCCTGTGTGGAAGGGTGTGAAGTTATGAAGAGGTTTCATCCCATTTGTGTGTGGGAATAATCCCATGTGGGGGTATAATCCTGTGTGAAAGGGCGTAATCTGTGTATGTGGGGGTAATTCTGGGGATGGGTGATCCCAGTGTGTGTGTGGAATGGGAAGAGTCTCAATGGGGATTGGTATGAATGGGAATAATCCTATGGAGGGGGGGTGGTGGTATAATCCCAGAAGGGGAATAACCCTGAGGAAGGGGGAAACTGGGTGTGGGTAATGCCATGGGTGGGCAGGGAGGGGAAAGATGCAGGCAGGAATTATTCTGGGTTTGGGGGATAATCCCATAGGATCGGAGGGGAATAAATGGGGGGATTCGTAACCCTGGCAGGAATAACCTGGGTGCGAGGGGGTAATCGGGAGGGGTAATCTGGAGAGCTGTAAATTTGGGGGTGGTCGTAGCAATAGGGAGGGAATAACCCGAAGGGGGGGTTATTGGAGGGAGGTGGTGAGAGCACTGAGGGGGCAATACGTGAGGACAGGGTTAGGGGATGATGTGGGAAAGGACGCAGGGTCCCTACCTGTGGGGCGCTGAGGTCCCTCTTGCCCCCTGGGTACCATCCGTGGGACCAGTGCTGGCCCTGCACAGTGCCTGCCAGCAGCAGCAGGGCCAGCAGCAGGCAGCCACCAGGAGCCATGGCACCAAACAGGGCTGCAGGGTAATGGGAAGTAATGGAGAGGTAATAGGGGAATGGGGCTGGTAGCCAACCAGTGCCCAGACCAGTGCTGGGTCAGCAGGGATGAGAACCTCCTGAGTGGTTTTTGGGACTGGGGTTGGAGGTGCCCAGGGATGGGCATCTGTGGGTGCTGCTAGGGGCTGGTTTGGGTCTGCAGAGATGGATACTCCACATTTTTAATCAGAAAACGGAGGTGCTGCAGGGGATGAGCACCCATGGATGCTGAATTGGGTTGCAGTAACACTGATCACCCTACAGTCCCATCTGGGGATGAAGGTGACAGGGAGAAGAGCACCCATTGGTGCTGCTTGGTGTGGGCTCGGGTCTGCAAGAAGCTGTGCCCCAAGGTGCCTTTTAGGCTTGTTTTGGGGACTGGAAGTGCTGGAGGGAAAGAGCACCCATGGGTGCTGCATAAGGCTGGGCTGGGTGCAGCAAACACAAGCACCCCAGAGTCCTGTTTCAGGATGGAGATGTTGGAGGGAATGATCACCCATGGGTGCTCTTTGGGGCTAAACTGGGTGTAGCAAGGAGGGGTACCCCAAGGTCCCACCTGAGCTGGGTTTGGGGATGCAGATGCTGGATAGGACAGGCACCCATGGGTGCTGGCTTGGGTGCAGCAAGCACGGACACCCACGAGCAAAGCCAAGTACCCGGGGGCTGCTAGGGCTGATCGGGGTCCCACCACCCTGCTCCCCGCATCGCACTCACCTGTTGGGGTGGCTGTGGCCGGTGCTGCGTCCTGCCCAGGAGCTCAGCACTGCTATTTGTAGGGCTGGGCTCGGCACCACTCTTTGTAGGGCTGGGCTTGGCAGCGCTGACGTCGACCCCACTCCCTGGGGAGATGGCAGCCAGTGCTTGCTGAGTGGGAGCCCACCCCAGAGCTTGAGGATGCTCATGGAGGGGGGGGGGGGAATGCAAATCTCTGTGCCTCAGTGCCCCCTCCCGCAGCAGATGGTACAGAAGATACTGCTGGCAACCCTTGTTTTCCCTTTTCTCCTCCAGTTTTTCCAAATATGGGGCTGGATGCTGCATCTCTGCCTGGCCACAGCTCTGGGTTTGTAGCAGAGGAGCAGAGTGTGGGAAGTGGATTTAGCCCGGATTACCTACAGCTGTCTGCTGTTTGCAAAGCGATGCTCCAGCAGCTCTGCACATGGCCAAAGGGCAGGGATGCTCCCCAGGCCCCAAAACATTGCTCTGAGCACCGAGGAGGGGGGAAAAAAAACCTCATTAAAATCACATCTGTGCAATTAATCCAATGGCTCTTGATGCCACAAAAACTGATAAACTATGGTCACCTGCACCCCTCTGCCCTCAGGTCTTTTCTTTGCCCTTAGGGCTCTTCTTGCACCTTGGCTTGCCACAAACATTAGTTTTTACATGTTTTTTCTTCTGGGAACTTCCAAATTCAGTTATTTTATATTCTGCTCTGACAACCCAAATTCATTTTGTATCCCAGTTATTTCCAAATGGCACTAATAGGAGGGAAAGGGATGGGCACAGGCACCCCCACATCCCACCAACAAAGGGACAGAGCTCCTTCAAGGAGCAAAACTCCTCTTCTTTTCCCCCTCTTCGTTTTGCTTGAAATCCCAACAGACACTGCCAGGTTCAGCTTTCCAACCCCAATGTGATGGCCTGACCCTGAGAGAGAATGCTTTTTCTCTCTTTTTTTTTTTACACAAAAATTAGGATTTTTAGATACATACACACACACAGAATAAGTTGGTTTGGTTTCTTTTCTCCTTATTTTAAAGAGCTGACTGGCAGAAAAATGTGAAACCATTTCCCTGCAGGTTTGCAAAAGCTTGTGCTTGCTTGTGGGTTATTGGTTCAGATGAGATCCAGAATTATTCTTTCCTTTTGTTTTTTTTTTTCTTAAAAAAGGCTTTACTCCCTCAAGAGAAAGAAAAAAAAAAAGATTTACAAACAAAATAACAGCCTGTATCAACTCTCCAGAAGAGAGATGGTGTGACAATATTAATCCAAACATCACGCTATTTAATTCCCCAATAAAACATTGGAAAAAAAAGGAGCTGACAGTATCTGCACTAACACTTTGCTACATATAAAATCTCCAGCTAAGATGAAGCTTATGGTACCAACCTCTAAAACAGTTAAGATATATACACATATTTTGGGGGAGGGGTATATTAACAAACAGAATATTACAAAATATTAAAGAAGGCAACTCTTCTGTCATTTGTTTCAGGTTGTTTGTTGTATTTTTCACTTGAAGTTGGCGTAGTCTGAGAAGGCGTCGATGTATTCCTGCACCACTTTGTAGCAGAATTCGTACTGTTCCTGCAGAGCAGAGAGGGCACAGCGTTACCCAGAGGAAAACCATGTTTCAGAAATCACTTGGTGCTTCCTGGCCTGCAGCAGGGACTGAGCTGAGTTATTACTGCACACCAAAGCACTTCATCTCTCTCACAGTGCTGGGAAAAGGGTGAAGCCCGTGGAGAATTGGGATGGTGATGGGACAGCACTTCTGGGCACTGAGTGCTGGCCATGGATTCCCACCCACGAGCAGCTCCCAATGGAGGGCTTGTGGTGATGCCACCTTGGTTTTGCCTTCCCCCTCAAAATGGGGCTGGCCATCCCTACAGGTTGCTCCTACAGAATCACAGAATGGCCCAGGTTGGAAGGGATCTCAAGGATCATGAATCTCCAGCCCTCCTGCCGCATGCAAGGCCACCAACCTCCACATTTGATACCAGACCAGGCTGCCCAGGGCCCCATCCAACCTGGCCTTGAACACCTCCAGGGATGGACGGGGCATCCACAGCCTCTCTGAGCAGCTGTTCCAGCACCTCACCACTCTCTTTGTCAAGAACTTCCCCCTCACATCCAACCTAAATATGGTTTCCAGGCTCCTGGAGCCCAGAATTCCAGGGACTGTAGATGAGGATGTCTGCAGGGAGGCTCCTACAGCCCATGTCAGAGGGAGGCTGATGCAACCAGCCAGGCCAGCTCCTCTCTTCTGAACACACCACAGGAGGACGGGGAGATCCCTCCCGACCCACCTCTATCCCTTACTCTTTCACAGAGGGAGCAAATCTTCAGCTGGGGAAGTTTATCTCGACAGTTTAACAGGTTTGAGTCCCCACCTCATTCCTGCTGAGGTCCAGGGCTTACCAGTGTCTGCACCATATGCGGCCTCTGTAGTCTTAAACTCTTCACTGTCTGAAAGACATCGAGAATCCCTTCTGCTTTCACCCTTTCCAGGACAGTGCTCAGTGCACAGAAGGTTCCTGTTCTTCCTGCTCCGGCGCTGGCAAAGAGAAACCAAGAAGGTGAAACCATCCACCGTTCCCAAGCAGCCCAGGTTTGTCAGTGGTTTTGTTATCTCCATGCACAAGATGCACAGTCAGACCGCAGCACTGAGGTGAAGCAAACCCCAAATCTCTGCAGCCTGAAGCAGCTCCCCAGGCTCACCTGCAGTGCACAGTGATGGGGTGGTTGCCTGACTGCTGCTGCTGCTTCTGCACGGCTGCAATGATGTTGATCATTCCCTTCCCATCGCTGGGGATCCCAACCTCTGGCCAGCCATGGAAGTGGAACTGTCGGATCTGTCGGCTCTTGTTTTCCTGGCAGAAGAGCACAGCCAGAAACTCAGCACGGCCCAATTCATACCAATGAACCAACTTGCTGAATGCCTCATGAAAACCCATAGGAAGTGTGTGTGCTTGGAAAGAGTCATTTGCTTGGTGTATGGCAGAGCATGACGTGGGAATGGAGAGCACGAGGAAAGTGGGAATAGCAGGCACAGGCAACCAAAAGACAACCAGAGTTCCCCAAAGGGCAGTGGCAGATCCTTACCCTGGTGTTTGTCACCAGCAGGTCCCGCACTGTGTAGCTCTCGCATTCCTCCTCTTTTTTCAGCTCCACGTTGATGTCTCCATAGGACACAGAGCCATCAGAAGGCCAGTACTGGGCACATTTCTCCTGAGAAAGAATTACAAGAGGAGGCAGGGTGAAAATACACATTTTTCTCACTGCCTTGAAGGTGCACAGCACTGGGAACAGCACAGTGCACAGCACTGGAGGGTTTATGGATGTGCTCTGATTTCCTTTGCTGCCGCTACAGCAAATGCTTACCTGACCTCTCTCCTCCAGCTCTGTTAACATCACTATGGAGCAGGATTTCCACTCCCAGATCATCCTCCAGAAGTCCTCTATCGTGTGCTGCAGTGGCCCTTGGCTGGCGATATAGGAGTCCTTCTGGCGATAGCCCTGTGATTTCAAACATGGCAGTGAGAGAACTGGCAGCACGAGGAGGTGGGTGCAGAGGAGAGCTGCAGGCACAACGACCACAAAAAGCCCAGCAGGTTCAATGACAGTGCATGTAGATGCATGGAAATAAAGGAACAACTTGGTCTGGGGGGGAAACACCTGTGTTTGTGGTACCTACTGGGGGCTGAGCTTTAGCACGGGTGTCATAATTATGAAACAGCACCAACTCTTTGCAAGACACAGAGCTGGAGCACCATCTTTGTGGAGCTCTCTGATACATCAAACTCAGCAAATAATGCAGTGCAGGCACTCTTAATCCTGCTTAGAAGTGCCAAGAAGAAAGGGCAAGCCAGCTTAGCAATCCTTCTCTCTCCATGTCTTGCTTCTGCATGCCAGGCTAAGGCTGCTGTGTCCAGGCTGCTGGTCACTGCTTCCTGTGCCAGCCGCTCTGCATGCTTGCCTCAAGGTCTGTGTGCGAGCTCTCCCTTCCAACTCAACCAAAAAGAGGCAAATCCAGTGGATTAGGTCTGCCTCATGCAGACTGGAGAATGCAGGCAGCAGCTCAGGTCTGCAAATGCATCAATGTGCTCTTGGACGAGTTGCCAAGTTGAGCTGAACACCAGAGCACCACTGTGTGAACAACCCCAGCCTGAGCAGAGCCACCACCTGGCTTCCCCTGCCCCAACACCTGGCAGCTGAGATGCTGCCACGGTGAGACCTTTGCTTTTGGGGGAATGCAGCCGCAGTAGGATCACATTTGGCAAAGGAAGGTTTTGTTTCCAGTACTCCTAGGACACTGCCGTAGTCTGAATTTTGTAGCAGAGCCAGCCATCATGCCTAAGCACCAAGACTTAGGCTTTTTGGAAGAAGTGAGCAAAACCAGGCTCTGTACTAAGTCAGGGTGACTCTGCTCCACAACAAGAACTGCTTCTGTTACAAAGAATGAAAACCTCCACTATTCCCCTGCGACCTCGCAGCAGACTGTGAATGCAGATGCTTCGTCATTTGGCGTTTGTCATTTAAGCAAAGTTCAGCAGAGGCAGGAAATTGAATCCTCAACAAAATTGCTTACATGACATTTAAGCCTTCTGATCTAGATGCAGAATTAGAAGGCTGCTCACATCTGCGTTTTGTCAGAAGCTGACACAGCCAGAGCACAGCCAGAGCACAATGTGGGGAGCCAGCAAGTGAGATCTGGGGGAGCAGACCATTTGGAAGGTTGTATCTGGGAATATACTGGTTTTACTGGTTCAACACATAGCAGTCATCACACTTCGGGGGGAAAAAACACTACCATTAGGAAATGAAAATAGGAATTGGGCTGGAAAAGAGCAGCTTTCTTTGTTACTTAACCAGTGCTGGCATCATTGCACAAAGATAAATACTCATATGAGATGGAGCCCTGAAGTCAACAGGATTACTCACGAGCAAAGGATGTGCAATCACCTATCTCCTCCTCGGAGTGAAAAAGCACTTAACCTCTCTGCCTCATTTCCTCCAGTCACCAAGACAGGTGTAATAGGATTGACCTGGTTTTCTCAGGGGTTTTGGGATCCGTGTTGTTGCTCCAGAACTAATCTAGAGGATGTTTTCTGACCAAATGAACAGTGCCATAAAGTAATTATTTCCCTGGCTTTGTGCATCCGCTTCTCAAAGCCATCATCAAACCCCACAGCTGTGGAAGTGGGAGCAGGATTTAGAGGCCCAGCTTAGGCTCCAAATCTCCTCTACCTAAAGAAGTGTTTCAGGACAAAACCTTCAATATGAAGAAGTGTGAGGTAAATAGTTTCCAGGGAGAGAAGATGGAAAGAAGATCAAAGAAGACTCACATCAATAAAAGAAGCATTAACGTAGTCTGTGTTTTCTTCACCTCTCTTCACTGGAATGATTACTCTGTTGAACTCATCTAAAACAGAAGCAAAACGACTGCATTTTGGGAAACACTTCAAAAACATAATTATGCATGGCCTTCAGCTGGGAAGTCACCAAGACCAAGTGCTGAGATGAGGGAAGGGGGGCCCTGTGTCCACAGCACCCATTTATGCAACGAGGAGACTCAGCTCTGCCTTCTGCCATGCCCTTGTTTGGGAAGCCCAGGGCAGAAGGGAGGCACTGAGGACTCAAGGAGCGGGACCTGCTCAGCAGATACTCCCCTCTTCCAAAGGCAGAAAGCCTTGGGGAGGACCAACCTCCTGAGAACAAATTCATGGCAGGGGCAGGGCAGAACAAAGCAAGCAAGCTCTGGAGCAGTGTTAAATCTGTCCATGAAAACCCACGTCACCCTGACTCTGCCCCATCCCTACATGGTTTCCCTACCAAGGAATGGACCAGGAGGTTTGTTTCAACCTCAACCATTCCCTGTCCCCACTCCCACAGATGCCTCTGTCTCCATTCTTCTTTCAACCGGACAAACACAACTTACATGGAATTATCTGAAGCACCCTGTTCTTTTTCATGTTGGCTGGCAAGTTGCCCGTTCTCATCTTGTCGTTCTGAATTTTGATGGAAGTGAGCTTCTGCAGAGGAAGGAAGGAAAGCAGTGACAGCTTGCAGAGACACTAAAGGAGAAGCAAATGCATGGCAGTCCTTGCTGCCCAGCGTGTGCTGAACAAACCTGCCAGCACAGGAAACCAGGCTCACCTTGAACTCCTCTTCCAGCCCGTTGCTGCTGGTCCCTGGCACTTTGTTGTAGATCTTCTGGAGGTGGATTTCTAACGAGGTCACCTCCAGTTCTGTATCACCGTAGAGATAGTGCTCCAGCAGTGCTTGGTATATGAACACATACTGCATCTGAAAGGGTCGCAGGGAGAAGCTGCACTCAGGGATGGGATCTGGCTGCAAACCCACTGCCCAAGCACTTCCCCTTGTAAGAGGTCTGAGACCTTATCTGCCACATGACCTGCAGGGATTTGACACAAAGCTCAAGGACAAACTGCAGCTAACAAAGTACAGGACCTGACCGACAGCTCGCTTGACACAGCGTTCCTTCCAAAATTAAGGATGCCACTCAACTTGCCCACAGGGCTGCTGCAGGTGGCTTCGCTGCAGGCTGGGAAAACACAAAGGAAAACCACAGGGAGCCTGCAGCAGCTCACTTACATCTGTCTGTACCATCTGGCAGCGCTGAGCCCGGATCCGGCTCACGAAGCCATAAACGTCCACCTTCCTCTCGGCGTGCATCATGTCCAGCATGGCGTCGATGACGATAAAAGTGCCCGTGCGTCCCACCCCGGCACTGCAATGGCAGAAGGGCAAACGATCAGGGCACAGCTCCACAGCAAGCTCACTCTGGTCACAGAACCACGGAATAGCTTGTGTTGGAAGGGATCATAGGCTCATAGAATGGCCTGGGTTGAAAAGGACCACATGATCATCTAGTTTCAATGCCCTGCTATGTGCAGTGTTGCCAATCACTAGACCGAGATGCCCAGAGCCACATCCAGGGATCTTAAAGCACTCCCAGTTCCAGCCCTTGCTGTGGGTTGGTTGCCTCACATCAGCTCAGGCTGCCCAGGGCCCCATCCAACCTGGCCTTGAGCACCTCCAGAGACGGGGCACCAGCAGTTCTCAGGGCAGCAGTACCAGCACCTCTGAGTAAAGAATTTCCCCCTCACATCTAACCTAAATCTTCCCTCATTCCCCACTGTCCCATCAACTGTCGGACCACGTAAAAAGCCACTCTTCATCTTTTTTTATAAGCTGCCTTTAAATATTGAAAAGACACTATGAGGTCTCCCCAAAGCTTTCTCTTCCTCAGGCTGAACAAGCCCAGCTCCTTCAGCCTGTCTCCACTGGAGAGTTGCTTTGAGCATCGGACTCCAACAATGCAATCCCTTCTGCACACCATCACCAAGCACTGCAGCAGGGCTTGCTGCCTTCTCCCATCCAGAGATGCTTTCCAGGCAAGCCAGGAGAGGCAGCCACAGCTGTGGCCGAGGCTCACCTGCAGTGCACTACTATTGCTCCTGCATACTGGGGGTTACACGTCTTCACCTTCTTCAAGAACTTCAGCATCCCAATGGGGGTGAAGGGCACCCCAAAGTCGGGCCAGCTGGTGAAGTGGAACTGCGTCACCAGGCGCTGAGGCTTCTTGTTCGTGACGTCACCTACCTGCAGGGGAAATGCGTGCTCAGATCAATCACAAACGCTTCAGATTTCCTCTCTTTTCCCAAAAGCTAAAGCAGAGAGGGAGCTACAGTCCCAAGGCTCAACTGGAAGGTTTAGGAAGCACTGCCACCTGGAAGCTTAAAGGACATGGATCCAGGCTGCAGGGCCACATGAGGCTCTAAAGGCATGACATTTTTTCTGCTCTCTGTCATATCCTGCATCCTAAGGGTGGCCTTGAAGCTGCGAAATAGTAGAGCAGAGCATCACCCAGGTGAGAGATGCCACCTGGACGGCTCCAGCCTGGCAGAATCTGTGACACTTCAACACCAATGGGCCCAGCTCAAAAAGAAGGCATGGCTCCTTTCAGTAATAAAGATGATGATGATGCAGTATCCTTGTATTAAAAGCAGGGAAGGAACCAGGCACAAAGCGGGGTCCAGGAGAGCCTGAGCTGGCTCTAGGCAGCCTTTCATCAAGGCACTCGGTCTCCCTTGCATCAGTGCTTTGTTGCCTGCCTCCGAGAACATCAGGAAAACAAACAGAGTGACTAATCCTGAGCTTGGAGGATGTGACAGTGTAGCGACAGATGGGAAAATAATCAAAACCCAACGCATAAAGCGCTGGATTTTGTCTCAGCTCACGAGATGAAACTGACTTATTTGCAGGCACTAAGCGGCTGTGGGTCAGAATCACAGCATGGCTTGGGTTGGAAGGGACCCTAAGGATCATCTAGTTCCAGCCCTCCTGCTGTGGTAACAACAAGCCCTGGAGGATTATAGGACTGCATTTTCACTGGAATCAACCAGCTTCCTTTTCTTCCAATGCAACGATGCTGACAGACGCGGAGAATGGGGTCCCGCGTGTTGGAGGTGAGTGCGTTCTTACAGCTCTCGTTATGAAGAGGGATGTTGCTGTCATTGAGGTGAAACCCTGAGGAGTGGCAGAGCAGCCAGGGGCGGGGAGGGACAGGGCAGGGCAGCAGCACCTGCTGAATGCAGAACTTGCGCACGGTGTAGTCCACCAGCACCGTCACGTCTTCCACCGAAACGCGGATGTTCCCGTATGTCCAGCAGCCCTGATCTGGCCAGTACTGAGCACACTTACACTGCAGGGACAGAGAAGGCAGACGGGTAAGTTTCAGCACCCAGCAAGCCTGGGAACAGAGTGTGGTGAGAGCTGAGACATCGCGTGGCTCAGCACAACCTCTGTGCTCACTGAGACGATGCCCGTTGGACGACACGGTGCCTACCTCTTTCCTCTCCTTCAGGTTGGTCACCATGACAATCGTTGCTGTGTTTTGCTCCCAAATCATTCTCCAAAAGTCATTCACTGTTTCTTCCTTTGGTCCTAAGGGAAACGGATGCATCGTGGTTAGGAAAGGGGCATCGACTCCACAGGCAGTGGGACTAAAATCCATTGCAGGGTGTGGAGCGTAGCACTCTTTTTGCCGATAGATGTCAGCACAGGATGCTCCATGGGTGTCTGGGAACCCAGAGAACAATCATATTGCACAAGAGCAGGTGGGGTTTTTTTTTGTTTTTTTGTTTTGTTTTTTTTTCCTAAGGGACTGGATACTTTTTTATTATCAGGAATTCCATTTTTAGCCCAACAAGGGGAAACCAGACAAGCAGAGCATGGAAACGACTTGCCCAAGGTCACACTGGGAAATTGTGGCTGTCACAAATAGCATGCACAAGTCCTGCCCCCGAGCCTTGTGCTTTAACCACAGGATCCTATTTCAATATGGCACAGGAATAGCTCTCACTGCCTGCCAGACAGGGAGCTGACTCACCCCAACATCCCCTGCCAAGCCCCAGGCTGAGGGTGAGCCAGGAGGAAAATGGAGCCAAAGCTTCACCCCAGCCTGGTACTGCTGATGAGATGCAGCCTTCCTTCTCCAGCCAGAGCCAAGAGAACAGGGTGGCTGCACCGAGGCATGCAAGCTGGGACCTCTGTGACAGTGGCTGGTGGCGGACAGGTGCAGCAAATTCAACTCACAAACAAAGGCTGGGATTAGAGAAAACTTCCTATGACTTTTGCTAGTGTGAAGGTCCCATGCCTGGGCATCTCAGATTCAGCAGGGAAAGCTGCACACACGATGGTGATGCTCTGCCTGGGGGCAGCTGAGCTCAGGAAGGCTCTGGCGCTTGCAGCTAACAGTCCTGCCACCCATGTGAAGATTATTACAGCTCAGTCTCTCCCCAAGGACATAAGCCCACATTCTTATAAGCTGAGGGTTTAGAAGGAGCATAATGAAACTGGATCGGTGTGGTGCTCGCTCTGACATAAATGATTTCTCAGCTTTATTAAGGAAATTTAATTAAGTATCTAGCCAGCTACGTTTTGAGAGATCACAGCCACCTGCAGTTGTGGCTCAGGGGGAGGATGAGGCTCTGGGGCTGGTAGGATGGAAGAAAGCCTTTGACACCATCCAGCAATGGGGATTCCATAGGCTGAGCTTCTTGTTCTTCCCCAATACATCCAGCAGGAACAAAATGTTCCTGCAACAACCTGTGGCCTGGCCAGATCTCCTTTCATGTTGACCAGAGATTCTCACAAGGCACTGTACTGGGGTTATTTGGGTTATTTGCAGTTTCATAGAGCAGAAGGACCCAAATCCAACAGGGCAGAGCTCCTAAAATAATTGAGCATTTACCTTGTGCAGCAATGAACTTGTTTTTCTCTTGGTACCCCTATGGAGAAAAGGAGAAAAAGGAAGACAAATGAAAGGCCAGCCTTTTTCTAAGGGTCATGAAGTGTTGCACTGCCTGCACTCATGTAATTTGTCAGCTGCTGGCCCAAATCATGGATGAGGTGGTAGCTCAGTACCTTTCTGTTGGCATCATCTGAAAATCAGCATTAATCTTCAAGAGTTCAGGCTGTTGAACCCACAGTGGGTTATACAGATTATTTCCTAATGGCTATATAGTTAGTGCTGAAGAAGGTGAAAAAAACAACCCTTTGGGGTCTTGATTTTCTTCATGTGCCTCCATCTCCCTCAAAGTCAACTTCTTCATATTACCCTTCCCACTGTAACACTGATGTGGGCTACGTTAGCAGCTCCCCTCTGTGCCTTGTGGACAGAACACATCTCCCAAGAAACAGGACACTAAATTAATAAAATGCATTTTGTATTCAGATGAATGCTATAAAAGCTAACATGGACAAAAGGGAAAAGTTGGACTACATTCTCTCCCTCTCAGAAATCAATGAGTTCACCAACAAAAGCCATTGGCAAACGCACAAATCCTGCTGCCTCCTAGGAGCAGAGTAGGGCAGAGTTGCTTTGAAGGATATTTTAGCTGTGTTGCTTCTTCTTTTTTTTTTTTCCATGTCCTTCACATGTCCAGCCCTGCAAGCTGGGAAGTACCAGTCATTAATCAGCCTCAGGATTCATCAGCCATTAATCAGAAATCCTCCGTTCACCCCAGAATGGTTCCAAACCCCTTCCCAAACAGCCTGCTTGCCTTTGCAACACTCTGAGGAGCTTTTCATGGTTTTAGAAGTGGCAAAAAAAGAGAGGTGTGAAGAGATGGGACTGAGCACAGCAGGACCATGGCCAGAATTTATTAGTCCCAGCCCTCTGTCTTGTACTCCAGTTGCTGGACCGTGTTCTTTTGGCTTCTTCCAGACTAAAGTTGCACTCCATAAAGGCCACACACACAGCCAGGCCTCGTTTTTAGGGATGGGAGTCACTCAAGGCAGGACAGGCACTTACATTAATGAAGGAGGCGTTGATGTAGTCAGAGTCAGGAACCCCTTCAACAGGAGTCAGGTGAACCCTGGAATGATCATCTGGAGAAAGATGACAATTCTGCATTAAAACCAAAGCCCCACAGAGCTGAGTTGAGTTTTTGGAGTGGAGCCCAGGCTTAGGGGGTTCCCAGAATACGTAAGTGACTTTATGCCCTGAAATCCTTCCATGCTCAAAGCCAGGAAGATGATGGACCTTCCTTACACAGAGATCATCTGCATTTCCCATCAGCTTCATTTTCCACATCCTCCTGGCTGCTCACAGCTCCAGGGAGTCCCTAGTGTGCATCTAAGGCTAATGCAGATGCAGCAGCCCCTCTGGGTGAGCCCTCCCTCAGCCCCCCAGCCCCACTGATACCTACAGGGCAAAATGTTCACGTAGCGGTTCTTCTCCTTGTTCTCCTCCTTGGAAGCAGCTTCACATGTGGCCTGAATGGGACACGCTGGGAGAGCCTGTAATGGCAGAAAATGGGGTTTCATGTGATATTTTCAGGCACAAGGAGTCCTGCACAAGGATGAATCCCCTCGACCCACCTCCCTCAACATCACTCCTATGCTGCTCTGTGCCCCGACCCAGCTCAGGGTGATCATTTGAACAGCCCAAGCTGTACCAGACAGCAAATCCCATCTCAGATGCAATATCCCAAGCCTCTGGACACACAAACACGAGGTGGCAGCAAAGCCTCCAACACCAAACCCACCAACACAGGGTTCTGGAAGCTCACAGGGAGGCTCCTGCTGACATTTCCTCCATTACCAGTGATGCTAACTGTGTAACCCTACCAGCTCCAAAACTCCACTGCCCAGCACCTTCAGGGCTGGGAGAGAGCTGCACCATCCCACCCCCAGTAGGGATCTGCTGTCCTTCCAGCAGCATCAGGGACCTCCAAATGGGGGTGCTGGAATCACTTGCAACGTGACCCTGTAATAGCCAGGAGGATGGCATGTGTTGCTTCCTCCAGCTGGCACGACAACATGCAACCCAGGATCCAGGATTTATAACCCAAGTGATTGCTTCCCTTGTTATTCAGCATGTGGATTTGGTTTCATGGGCTCACAGCCTCCTCTGACACGCAGGGTATCGAGTTGTGCGACAGCTGGGGGAAGTCGACTGCGTTTTCTTTTTTAATCTTGTCACAGTCCTGATATCAGCTTATCACACCTTGCACCTAAGGTTTTATGTACTTGCAGACAGCACCTGCAGTGCAATCAGACCAGCAGTGGATTTTCTTTCATTAATTAAGCCATGGGGAATCCAGTTAGTTCAGTTCCTAAGCAATATGCTATGACACTCCAGCCAGTAGTTAACTTTGTCCCCTCCCTCATCACTTCTATTTCTGCACTGCCAAAATGAAACCATACCAGGTTCAGCATCACAAGAAGTCAGAGAGCTCAGCAACATCAGGAACAAGTTTCTGACATCTCAGAAGAGATGATGAAGTGTTGTGGGGTAATGACAATATCTGAATTATTGCCAAGACTGATCAGTGCTGAAGGCCAGCTGTTGTGCTCTAAGTGGTCATCATTCAGTTTCAGAGCTACCAGCTTATTCACATAAGTAGAGTTGTTTCAATTTCTTGTTTCGGCTGTTTCTGCATTTGACACAACACCATGACACAGCTTTACCAGCAATTCATATTGGCAGTGTTTCTGTTACAGCCCTGAGGAGGAGGAGGAGGAGGGAAGGCTCTATCTGGGAGGAAACCAGCAGGCAGGGAAACTCTTTCAGAGCTCTTCCATCCCAAGTCCTCCTGGACACAGAAGAATGTAACCCCATGGTGCTGCTTGCTAGCAAAGCCGAGTGCAGCTGGGTGGGACACAGGCAACAAGAGAGAGATACCAGGGACCAGTCACAAGGGCGAAAGCCTCTTTGTGTGCTTTGCAATAAATATGTAAAAATCTCCGAGTGGCTTCGCCTTTGATGTACCAGCTGTTTTGTCTCTGCTGTTCTACAAAATGAGACCAGAATTCTTCTGTTGTGTGTCATAAGCTTTACAGATAGCATCCTGCTCGAGCTGTGCAATTTAAGGGAAAGAAGACAGAGCTGCTTTTCAATTCTCTCTCCATCAACCTCTTCATCTCATCAGCCATGAAATTGCTCCATGGCTGCAGATAACCACCGTCCACCCTGCAATAAACACCCACTGCTTTGCAGAGTAACAGAGGAGCCTCTGCGTCGCTTTGAAAGACCAACGCCACTCTGCACCGGCTTGGCTGTGTCCATTGGAATGAACTGGAGTAAACAACCTCCTTAACTCCCACCCATCCCTCGTGCTGCAGGAGAGGAGAAGCAAAGACACTCACGTTGAACTCTTCTCGGAAGAGCTTGTTGTCATCTGCCATGCGGCGGTTGATCTCCTCCTCCAGCTTGTCGACGGGCAGAGGTGGGTATTTCCTGTTGGTGCTGGGGGACCTGGCGAGCAGCGGCATGCTCTGGGGCTCTGCAATGACACCCAGGGCCAGAGTTGTCCACAGATGCTTCTCTGTGTCCAGTACCCATCCTCACAGAGCTCCCACACTGTGGGCACACCGCGTTTAGGGACACTCGGCTGTCCCCGCTCCTGTGATTTGCTCCTCCTTTGGGCTGTCCAGGAAAATGTGGGGGTGCTGTGATAACCTGGGACTCTATCAGCAGCCTGGAGTTGAGCACTGCCCTGTTATAGAGCCAGGATGCTGAAATGAGGATCGAGTCACCAGTTCTGGGGGATGAACATCATGGTCTGCAGCAACAGGACATGGGATAATGGCTTTAAACTAAAACAAGGGAGATGTAGCTGAGATATTAGGATGAAATTCTTCACTGTGAGGGAGCTGAGGCTCTGGCATTGCTGCCCAGAGGAGCTGTGGGTGCCCCATCCCTGGAGATCCTCAGGGCCAGGTTGGATGGAGCTTTGGGCACCCGGTCAGTGAAAGGTGTCTCCTCTTGGCAGTGGGTCGGAACCACATGGGCTTTAAGGTTCTCTTCCAACCCAAACCATTTGATTATGAAGACTCTGAAGTCCCTCCTTAACATGGGAAGTTTGGCACAGTGACCATGCCACAGCTCCCAGGTGAATGCAGTAAAGGTAGCTGCTGCGTTTGGTTTCTGCTGAGCAACACCAGCGAAGCCAAGAAAGGCCACAGGAGGGTTATATCAACACAACTGAGGGTTTATGAAGTTAACACCTTAGCTTACAGCAATATAAAGCTTGGGCAGGGAAGGTTTTAGCTGCCAGCATGAAAAAACATTGCTGATTTTCAGTTAGTGCTCCCTTGTATGTGTGTGGTTAATACGGAAGAAGCTCAGAAAAAGGATCTGAACTGAGTCTGACTCAGAGAATCATAGAATATCCTGAGTTGGAAGGGATCCACAAGGATCACTGAGACTGCCCCTGAGACACTGAGGTTCCTCTTCAACTCCTACAGTAGATAAGCACGTTACAGCAGGCTGGCACAAGACTTTTTAATTGCACTTGTAAATTCTGCCTATCTTTCAAGGTTTTCATAAGGAAAAAACGATGTGTTCCCAGCTTTATCTCCACAATGTTAATTTGGTGCCTGCAGTCAATGTGAAGAACTTCACAAGAGTTTTATTCAGCTGTCATCCTAATTTAAAGGGGGAACTGCCAGCAGTTCAGTTTTGGAAGTGATCATCACAACGTATTAAAACACTTGAGGGAAAACATTTGTTGATGGAATTAAAGTTAGGAAGAGAATTGTTGGTTTAGGTTTGTCAAAATCATGGAAAACAGTGAGAGTTCAGAACAGATTAAAACAGCATCATCCAGCAGTGATTCGCTGGGTGCTGTCACTGCACTGGGCTCAGTGCTGAGCTCAGGGGCTCCTGGAGCTTCTGCAGAGCTCTGTTTTCTGATGATTTAACATAATTTTGTATGATTACAAATGGGAAGAAAACAAACAAGTCAAATAATCCATTAATAATGGATGAATGGTCCACTCTGAAGAATGCTCGGCATGCCGTGGTTTGCAAGCACGTGGCATGTTTTGCAAGGGACGTGGTTTAGTAAACATGGTGGTGATGGGTTGATGGTTGGACCTGATGATCTTGGTGGTCTTTTCCAACCTTAATGATCCTGTGGTGATTCATCTGTACCTCTGTTCCCACGTCATGCCTTACCTGCATCATCTGTCCGACCGTTGGGCAGGCGGAAGGAGTTGGAGTGACTCCCTGCTTGCTTGTATTTCTTGAACCTAAAGAAGAAAAGGGCATGGAGAAAGTCAGGAGTTGGCCATCGAGATGCCAGGTAACCTTCTGGAATAGCAAACCCTCCTCAGCTTCACTGCTGTGAGATGGGCCCCGAGCCAAGAGACGAAGGGAATTTTTCCACCATTGCTAAGGAAATTGCTTTTTTTTTTTTTTTCTTCCCCTTTTAATTATTTAATCATCAAAACATTGAGCAAATTAAAATGTTTACTGCAGGTGAATAAACACTCTCTTCCAGCTGAGCAGACGTGCGCTCAGGAGCTGGGTTCATTGAAGGCATCATTTGGAGCAGCCCAGATGCTTGGATTTTTCAAATGTTGTCTTAGAAAGGCTCTCTTGTGCTGCAGCTCCAGCTGCTGCATCGCCCTGTGTGTCCAAACAGCTGCAGCACCCACTGCCTTGCATGGTTCTGCTGGGACAAACCTGCTCCCACAGCACGCAGCTTTAGTACCCAAGGCTGTCCGTGGGCATTGGGTCATGTTTGATATCGTGATGGGAATGAAGGAATAATGCAGAAGATTTTATGGCTGGGGAATTCTGTGTAGCCTCACCAGATTCCTCAATCCATCAACCTGAGCCTTGGAAGGAGACCTTGCCTGCTCTTATCTGCACATGCAGGGCTTTGACTAATCCATCCTTCTCAATGTTACCGTTTCACTAACTGAACAGAGAAGGAAAAGCTTTATACTGAAATGAATAAGCAACAATTCTTAAATAGCCCCAAATATAATTTTCATTATCCTTCCAGATTTCTTTTTATAACATTGCTTGTGTCAGGCTTGCATAGCTTAGGAAGCAGAACAAAAAGCTCACAATAGAGAGCAGCCAGTCCTTCAGCTAACCATCTAATACATCATTTGTCAAATAAGACAGCATGAAAGCCCTTCTTACCTTAACATGTACAGCACAATAATAATAAATACTATGACTAGGAGGGAGGACAGGGCCACCATCACAGCGATAATTGGAGTCTCATCTGCAACAAAGAAAGAAAGGTGCAGTTACCAATAGCTATCCAAACCCACCCAGTGCCATCACTTAACCATTCCTCTACAATTCCTGCTTTTAAAATAGCCCACTTGTTCCATAGGGTTGCATTTGTCACGGCTGGTTGGACTGGATGATCTCAGTGGGCTTCTCCCACCTTAACGATTCTGTGGTTTGGTGAAGATGGAATACGTGACCTAAGGGAGCGTGCTGAGATTAGATTAAAAGCTGTCAACACCAGTCTCAGGACCCTGATCTTTTCTAAGAGCAGCTCTGCTGGGAAACCTTGTGGCATCATGGATGCAAACTCCTGCTGAGAAAGTTGTGAGAGGGGGAGAAGTGGCCACACCAGGGTTTTCACGATTGGGACACAATTAGAAATGCCCCACAATAAAAAGCAAAACAAAAACAGGATTAAAAGTGCCCTATAAAGGCCCATACATAAAGTTTCTAAATTCGTCCAAGAGCTCAGTAAGAATCCTTATATTACAATAGGTGAAAACGATGGCCTTTGTAGGACCATACAGATCCCATATTGTTTAAGATAGCCATGATTTTTCTTCCAGCTTCGTGCCCAGGCAATGTTTCCATGCTACGCCCTGACTCCAATTGTGTTCAGCCCAGGGCTGAGGTTTGCTGCCAGCTATTTGTTACCTGCCCCTGGGGTCAGAGCAGCAGTGCTTGGAGCAAGCTCATCACCCAGAGGCAGCTGGAAGACAAGCCACACTAACAGATAGGAAAACAGCCCTAAAGAGCTTATTTCCAGAAAAATATGGGCAGCAGCAGAGCCAGAGAGGGGTATTTTCATTTTCCATCAGCTCACTCAATCTGGAATCAGGAGCTCTAGAAAAGTGATTCTGAACAAAAGATCTGACTTATGCACAGTGATGTGAAGGTGGAGACCTACTGTTGCAAACAATAAAAACCCACCTCTCCCTGTCTTTGTTCTTTCCATCTGCATCCCCCCAAAGCCCAGCAGCGAAAAAGAAATTCATCTGAACATATTTCTGTCTCCTGCATACTCGGTAACTGTTCCTAGCCCTCACCTCCCCCCTGCCATGGCTCATCTTCGTGGTTCATGTTGTTGAATTTATCAAACCCTCTTGCTGTAAAGCCCTGCTCGATGCCTGCCAGGCTTGCCAGACACACCATTGGTTGGATGAGGTGCAGGTACGCAGTAAGGATGAGAGATAATGGCCTTAAGTTGCATCAGGGGAAAGTCAGCTTGGATATAAGGAAACGTTTCTTCTCAGAAAAGGGTGCTGATGCGTTGGCACAGGGAAGGGGTGGAATCACTGTCCCTGGAGGTATTCATGAACAGTGGAGATATGGTGTTGAGGGACATGTTTACAGTCAAGGTGGGGATGGATTGGGGCTGGACTTGATGATCTTAGAAGTCTTTTTCAACCTTAATGATTCCATGATTCATCAAGAGCCCACAGAACCAGATTCATGACAAAGCCTCCGTTTGGTTTCTTGGTGGATCCCCTTCCCAGTAGCACTTGGGAAGCAAAATAAGAGGAAGCCATAACAGACACTGCAGTTTGGGATAAGTCATTAAGCTTGGCACGAGCAGGCTCCATTTTCATTGGCAATTGGCTTTACAATAACTGAAGCAAAGCAGTAAGTTAAAGAAGTTCCCACTGATCTGTGCCTATATCTATCATGGCCAAGGCAGGACAGTTCATTGGGATCTAAGTTCCTGCACCAAAACCTCAGTTCTGTGTGATATTTCAAGGACAGCTGCACAGGGCTCAAAGCAGAGGATATCCCAGTCACTTCTGAATCTAAAATCCAACCAAGATACCGGAAAATCAGAGGGGATTTTTACCTAATGGCAAACCCAGCCATCTGTTCTCATTCTGTAGGACCGGTGTGTATGTGCAAACCATATCACAGCCCCATCACGCGGCACTGAAAGCATCACTTCTGGAGCAAGTAAAGTGTTAAATACCCGTGCAGCTTTGCTCCCAAGCAGGCAGTGCCTTTTAAAGAGCCTGCCAAGGACTCCATGGTTAGTTTCTCCCTTTCTCTCTGCAATGGATCACACCGTATCAGCAGTAGCACAAGTACAGCTTACAGATGTCCTATAAGACCAAGATCCCGTGAGCTCCTACAAGGCTAAAAAGGGATGGGGAAGGACTTGCAGACAACACAAGAGTTTGGTGTTGCTGTGAAAGACAGTGACAAAGCACCAATTTCCACATGACTTCAGGAAAAAGCAGAGTGAGTTGGAGTGCCATGTAGTGTGCAAAGCTGCAACGCCATCAGGGCCAGGATGAAAACACAAAGAAAGCAAACAGGCTGCCCTGCTGTTGGGCTGTTGGCTCCTCTGCTGCTATAGCAATGAGTAATTGCAAATACTCTGTTAGCAACATTGGTTCTCAGAACTCAGTCATTGAATCAGAGATGGAAAAATGAGTGTAAGTGCTATTATATTACCAGAAATGGATTTCTGCTACTTCTTGCCAGCAAAATTAATGAGAATGATAAGTATTCACATCATTTGCAGAACGGGTCCTGATCAAACAGGGCAAGTCACGGTCAATAAAGACAATTCATAAGCAAAAAAAGGAGAAGGACATTTCTTGAGCAGCTTGTAACCTTTCCATCCAGCCCTGCAGAAGGCAGTGCTGATACACGCAGTGAGTGCAGCAGGAACTCCTCCTATCTCAGAGGATAAGTACAAATTGGTGCTGAATTGTTTATTTTTGAAAAGCAGGAGCCCAACTCTTATTAACATATCAATATGCCTCTTCTAAAGAGCTCGATATGCTTTGTAAAAGCCATTTTGAAAGCGGGTGATAAGGAGAGCTGTCTAATAGCAGAACGCTTCTGAAAATGCCTTTACTTAGGGCTTGAATAAAGAGTAATGAAATACAAATCTCTTACCTCTTCTGTCAGAGTTACCTGCAGAAAAAGAAAACAGAGGTCTCTTAGCAACCAACATTTTCCTAAGTGAGGATCAAAGACTGAAATAGCAACAAATGTAGTAGCTGTCACCTTCTCCTTGCAAATCTCTTTATTAAAATATCTGCTCCCGAAGCCATGATATGGAAATGCATTTCAGCTTTCCCTCAGTCGTAAGAAAAAAGGTATAAAATGCAGATTTGTAGCTTTGCTGATTAGAAGGAGAAACCTGAAAATGTATGACTTTACTTTTTGGTCTGTGAGCCACTGGGAGAAGCATTTCCTATTTTTCTCCTTTTCCATCTCCTGAGCAGCACTTAATGCTCTGATGACTGCTTTCCAAATTTCCCATTAAGATGAATGGAAAAGGCAGCCCTAAAACTAATTTTGCTCTTTGACAAATCACTTGAAATAAAGCAAGAATCAGCTTGGGCATTTGTTTTAGGGACTGACAGCAAGAGAGAAGCCTTGCTGATTCCATGGCCAACTCGCTGCAGTGCACAAGGAGTAACCAAGTCACAAAAACTGTGGAGGGCTTGGGGCTGAGGAGCAAACTGGATGAGTTCAGCAGTGTTCTGTGGGCCGTGAACGTCCTTCAGCCTCAATCTCAAGGCCAACAGCAAAGACAACGTGATGGCAGACTCACCAGGCTGCAGTTCCCAAAAATGCCCAAAGGAAAAGGGTGCACTCAGCACACAGATGTACAGAGGAGCTTAGATCACCCCAAACTCCACATGCCTGGCGGTCACCTCTGCGATGTGCCAAGAGGGCAACGACAGCAGGGTGACCGTATGGACATCTGTTCATCCAGATCTTTGAAAGATTAAAGCAGCCCAAGGTAAGGGATAAAAACTGCTAACAGAGGCGTTGTTGGATCTGCTGGGAAATGCAAACTTGAGACATTCAGTGCATGGAACAGCCTGATCGACGGCATCTCTTTAGGAGCTGTTGGATGTCGAGGGGAAGTTCTTTACTATGAGAGTGGTGAGGTGCTGGAACAGCTGTGCAGAGAGGCTATGGATGCCCTGTCCATCCCTGGAGGTGTTCAAGTCCAGGTTGGATGGGGCCCTGTGCAGCCTGGGCTGGTATTAAATGAGGTCGGAGATCCTGCATGTGGCAGAGGGGTTGGAGATTCATGATCCTTGAGGTCGGAAGTGGAATGAGACTGTAAGTCTGGTATACACCCAACATCTTGGCAAGAAACTGCAGCTTTCAGAATCAGAATCACAGAATCACAAAACAGTGCAAAAAGTGTACAGTCACTCTCCATCTTTTTTATCAACTCCCTTTACATTCTAAAAGGCCCCAAGGAGGTCTTCCTGAAGCCTTCTCTTCTACAGGCTGCTCTCTGTAGACTGGAACAGGCTGCCCAGGCAGGTTGTAGAGTCTCCTTCTCTGGAGATGTTCAAGACCTGCCTGGATGCCTACCTGTGCGACCTGCTGTAGGGAACCTGCTTTGGCAGGGGGTTGGACTCGATGATCTCTGGAGGTCCCTTCCAACCCCTACAATTCTGTGGTTCTGTGACTGTTTTTCTCCCTTGTTTGAACTAAGGAGAGGATGAATCTTTTTGCACTTACTCACTTCAGTGTATCATATTGTTACACACTGCCATGGAATTTGCCCCAAAGTGTCTTCTCGTTCCTACTTGCTCAGCAAAACAAGAGAAGATGAAGAGGCTGGATGTTAGGAAACATTTCTTCTCAGAAAGAGCAGTCAGGCAGTGGCACAGCTGCCCAGGGAGGTGGTGGGGCCACCATTGCTGGAGGTGTTCAAGGACCGTGGAGATGTGGCACTGAAGGACGTGGTTATGGGCATGGTGGGGATGGGGTTGGACTTGGGGATGTTAGCGGTCTTTTCCATCCTTAATGATTCTATGATTCTGTTCCATGAAACAAGCCCACAATTAGGGCAGCCTGGACAAACAGAGGTGTGCCAATTGGATGGGGCCAGGCTCTTCTTGGTGGTGCTCTGAGATAGGACAAGGGGCAATGGGAACAAACTGGAATCTGAGAAGTTCCATCTGAGCACGAGAAAGAACTTCTTGACTTTGACAGTGACAGAGCCCTGGCACAAACTGCCCAGAGAGGTGCTGGGCTCTTCTCTAGTGATACTCAAAACCTGCTTGGCTGCCTTCCTGAGCAACCTGCTGTTCAGAACCTGTTTTTGGGGGTAGGTTGGAATGCGACAACTCCAGAGGTGCCTCCAACTCCTACAGCTCTGTGATTCTGTGATCCTATGAGCACGGCACCTACCGTTGTGGGATGCAGAAGAGGTCTCTTGCGTCGTCACCGTCGCGCTGACGTTCCTCTCGGTCGTCTCCGCTTCTGTGCTGGGCAGTGCAGTGTGCGGGGCAGACGGTGTCGCGCTGGGTGGCAGAGAGATGGCCACAGAGGCAGAGGTGGGCACTGATGCCCCTGGAGTGGAGGCATTGAGGCTGGCAGTGGTGGCATTGGGGGTGATGCTGGTGGCTGTGGTTGTAGGAAGCTCCGACGCCGGGGTAGAAGTGGTCATCGGAGAGCTAACGGTGAGGCTGCTCACTCTCAGCGTCGTCCCACCATCAGGAATTGCTGTGGGAGCTTTGGTGGGGATCCTGGTGGAGGTGAGCACTGTTGTGGGTGGCTCTGTGAGGATGAGGAGCACAAAGGAGAATCCGTAAGTTACTTTTCTGGAGGATTTATGTGCTATAGATTTGTGCTGCTGTAACTACAAGCAAAAAAACAACCAACACATCTCAAGTCTAGGAGAGAGAGCACTTTGCACAGTACGGTGATGCCAGTCTTACAAAAGCAGCTCACATACTGTGATGTAGGGAAGGAATAAGAATTAGTGCCCCTGTAAGAGAGGATCGATGTTTGCCATGGGAAAAACCTGCAGGTCCCTTCTATGAGCACCTACAGTTTGCCACCCTTGCAGCACAACTAACAGAAGGGGTGAGTCACAAGAACAAGAGCATTTCCTCCTTCCATCCTGAAGAGGATTCAGGGGAAGAAGAGAGGAGACAATAAGCGAGGTTTACCTGTTGTGACATTGTTAGCACCTACGCTGATCAGGCCACTTCCAAGCAAAAGGACAAAGAACCATAGATCCATGTTGACCTGAGAAAAAGAGCAAAAAAAACACTTATTTGAACTGTTATCCCAAACCTGTATGCACGTGGATGGAAGGATTTATCTGGATGTTCATACATCCCCACCTGGAAATCAGCAGGGAGTTGATGTAACAGTGCACACGTCAGAGTGCCATGATGAAACCTAAATGCAATGCACAGCAAAGAGCCGTGATCCTAAAGGTACAAAAGAGGGGAGGTTGGCTCACCTCCCTCCATCACCCATCTCCAGGACACCCACATCCCCTTTTTCACATTGCACTCAAGCACATGGTGGAGGTTTGTAGGTTATTCTGGATTTGGGGAAGCCTAATTCAAAGCCCCAAACAGCCATCCTACAGAGAATAACCCAAAGCAATCTGCAAGCTCTGCCTGTGCTGTGCATGCATTGTGCCGTGCATTTCTTCCCAGGAAGCGTCCTGAAAAATTAAATTACAGGATGATGACATCAGTAAAATTGTTTTTTTCCCAGAACAATCCCCAACCTTTCTCCCTCAGCCCTTTTAAATGCATGCTCAACATTTTTTTACGGCGCTTGTTGCTTGTTTCTTCCTTCCAAAAAGCTCCTAAGAAACGGGTATGGTTATCTGCTCTGAAACAGGTATGGATCCAGAGGCAATCAAAAGTATGAGGTCAGATATCATCATCCAGCCCCAAGCTTGCAAGCTCCTGAAACAGCCCTTCCGGAAAGGGCTTCATTCCTGCAATCCCTCCTTCCTCTTTCATTCACTCTGCCTTGTTTGCTCTTGTTGTATCGATTCAAATATGCTTCAGTTGAGACCCATCCCAAATTCTGGGCAAGGGGACAAGGCTGATGTCATGAAAGATGCAGCCCCACCAGCAGCATCCTCCCACCAGCACCACCCGCCTACATTCTTCGCCTCCCTCCTAACGAAGACATGGCAAAAATGGAAGTGATCAGTGGAGAACATTGCTGGCAGCACAGCGTTCCTTGTTGTTAGACCCAGGATGCAGCTCATCCTATGCCCACACTGCACAGGGAGGAGGGGTTCTTGCTTAGCTTGCAGAAGGGAAGGCTCTGAGGAGACCTCATTGTGGCCTTCCAATACTTGAAGGGAACGTATGAACAGGAAGGGGAACGGCTGTTTATGAGGGTGGATGGTGAGAGGACAAGGGGGGATGGTTTAAAACTGAGTCAGGGGAGGTTTAGGTTGGATATGAGGAGGAAGTTTTTCAGCCAGAGGGTGGTGAGGCACTGGAACAGGTTGCCCAAGGAGGCTGTGGATGCCCCATCCCTGCAGGCATTCAAGGCCAGGCTGGATGTGGCTCTGGGCAGCCTGGGCTGCTGGTTGGTGACCTGCACACAGCAGGGGGTTGGACTAAATGACCATTGCAGTCCTTTTCAACCCAGGCCATTCAGTCATTCTATGATTCACATGGGCTCTGCACATCCCACAGTGAACCCATTCATGGAGAAACAGATCTTAATCTCTTCCAAACCCTTCTTAAGAGTTTGAATGATGTGAGCTGGCTCTTGCTGGTGAGAATCCCCATGAATGGCAATCTGTGCCATCTCCTGCTTCCTGGGGGCGGACAGGGAGAGGCTGGGAGGAAAGGCTGGATATTAGGAAAAACTTCTTTTCCCAATGAGTGGTCAGGCAGTTGGCAAAGGCTGCAAAGGGAAGTGGAAGAGTCCCCATCCCTGGAGGTGTTAATGAACCATGGAGATGTGGCACTGAGGGATGTGGTGGGGATGGGCTGGGGACTGCAGAGCTCTTTTCCAACCTCAACAATTCTGTGATTCCTGGACCAGCCCGTGGCTCTCACTGGAAAAGCCCAGAAAAGACAAGATGGGTGATGCTCTGCTGAGTGAAGAGACATCAGCAGTGAGGTACTGCCTGCCCCTCCAGCCCCCATGGTATTACCTCTAACATCGTGTGAGGGGGAAATGGCACCAAATAATTGCATTTTGCTGAGATTTGGCCTGGTTTTATAAAGAAAGCAAAATGCAGGTAGGCCTGGGTAAGCTCTAAGCAGAGAGGTGGTGGGTGCCCCATCCCTGGAGGTAATGCAGGACAGGGCTCTGAGCACTGATGGAGCTGTGGGTGTCCTTGTTCACTGCAGGGAGTGGGACCAGATGGCTTTTAAAGGTCCCTTCCAACTCAAACCGTTCTATGATTTGATGATTCTAACAGTTTTTACGGCTTTATGACAAGGCTGTGAATATGAAAAGCAAAAGGAACCCAGGCAGCCCCTAGGGCATCACCAGCTCATCAAACAAAACCCCTGGAGCTGCTCCTGTTCCTGGCCATCAGCTGTTTTATCACTGTAAAAATGGATCTGGAGGAGAAAGCAAGTACAAAATCCCCACGGCAGGGCCAGCTCTGCCCCAGCCTCTGCTCTCTGCATCCTCCCAATCCCCCAGGGCAGCCCCAAACAAATGCCAGCGGTTCGCCGTGCCCGGTTCCTAACATTACAAAAAAAGGGCCTCCAGAGCCCTACCCCGGAGCAACTCGAGCCTCCCTTCCCCCCTCCCCCCCCCCTCCTCTGCTCCCTCCCTGCTGATTCGGAAACAGGGAGGAAATACTTGTAATGTTATCAACATAAACACAGCTCTTGGCCGGCTGCGGCATCCTGTGAGCGCTGCAGAAAAACACCCTGACGTCATGTCTCGGGCTCTGCCAAGGAGGAGCTGGGTTTGCTGGGAATGGGGAACTATCGGCGAGCAGAAGGGTTGGCTGGAGGTGCTCCCAGAAAGGCAGGAGGGGTTTGTGCCCCGGGATTGGAGGAAGGTTGGGTTTGGGCTGCAGGATTGTGAAAACAAGGAGATCTCGTTCAGGCGATCGGCAGCGGGAGGGGGAGAAGATAAAAAAGGCAGCAGGAGCTTTGCAATGTAACAAGTGGTGGTGGTTTGTGCTGAGCTCGGCGAAGCAGCTCCCAGTAGGGTTAGACAAGAGCAAGTGCAAAAGGAAAGGGTGGCAGAGAGCCATGAGAATAGCTCAGCTGTGCTGGAAGACAATCTTGCCGCTCCCTCCGCTCCCCGTCCCCTCCTGCTGCTCCTTTACATTGCTGGAGCAGCGGGTTTGTGCGCCTCTCCCTCCAGCCCCGTGCAGTGTCTGCCATCTCACTCCATCCTTTTGCAAAGCAGAGAAAGCTGACAAAGGGAGGAGGAGAGCTCTGGGTTGGCCCGCTGGGATCAGGCTGGTCCGACTGCTGAGTGCTTTCGCAGCACCGATTCCCGTCATCCCCAACTTCTGGCTTTGCAGCACGCTGTGTTACAGCAGAGTTGGCCATTGCGGGACAGGAGCTGCTGCTCGTGGTGCTGTGCTACCACGGGGTGACTAATCCCCTGCATGCCTCTCCAAAGCTGGAGTGAAGGCTTTGATGTGTCACTGAGCATTATTCCCCCACCCCACCCTCTGCTTTTCCACTCTTGAACAGAAAAGATGAATCACAGTGACTATTCACCCTTAAAACACACTTGTTAGTTCTTCCTTTCTTCCTTTCTTCCTTCTTCCCTTCCTCCCTCCCTCCCTCCCTCCCTCCCTCCCTCCCTCCCTCCCTCCCTCCCTCCCTTCCTCCCTCCCTTCCTTCCTACCTCTCTTCCTCCCTCTTTTCCTCCCTCCCTCCCTCCCTCCCTCCCTTCCTCCCTCTTTTCCTCCCTCTTTTCCTCCCTCCCTCCCTCCCTCCCTCTTTTCCTCCCTTCCTTCCTTCCTTCCTTCCTTCCTTCCTTCCTTCCTTCCTTCCTTCCTTCCTTCCTTCCTTCCTTCCTTCCTTCCTTCCTTCCTTCCTTCCTTCCTTCCTTCCTTCCTTCCTTCCTTCCTTCCTTCCTTCCTTCCTTCCTTCCTTCCTTCCTTCCTTCCTTCCTTCCTTCCTTCCTTCCTTCCTTCCTTCCTTCCTTCCTTCCTTCCTTCCTTCCTTCCTTCCTTCCTTCCTTCCTTCCTTCCTTCCTTCCTTCCTTCCTTCCTTCCTTCCTTCCTTCCTTCCTTCCTTCCTTCCTTCCTTCCTTCCTTCCTTCCTTCCCTCCTTCCCTCCTTCCCTCCTTCCTGCCCTCCTGCCCTCCCTCCTTCCTTCCTGCCCTCCCTCCCTCCCTGCCTCCCACCCTCCCCTCCTTTCTCCCCTTTTCTTCCTTTCTTCCCCCCACCCACTAAAGGGGGTCTTTCCGCCCTGCTTTCCCTGGAGCAGTGGTACCAATGCTGAGAAGGATGAGCTCAGGGCTTTGCTTTGTGCATCATCCAGCACCTGCCCAACCTTCCACGGATCTCCACATCCTAAATTCCCACTCTCCACTCACTACAACGGAGTGTTTTTTCAAAGCAAGACACAGCAATCTCAATGAATGTGCACAGAAGGGGTAATTAGGGACCCCAATCCCACCTGGTTTTCTGGGGTGCAGAAAGCCTTTGTGCTGTCAGAGTGATGCTAAAAGGCTCTTCTGCTGCTACAAAGTGCAAATCTCCAAGTCTCAGCCTCACCTACTGCTGCACAGCCTCACAAATGGGCTTTTTAACTCCCCAAATGAATGGCTTGTAAGCGAGGGGACCAACACTGAGAGCAGCACTCGAGGTGCAGCCTCGTCTGTGTCAATACAGCAGGATGAACCCCTCCTGCTCCTGCTGCCTGCACTACTGCTGGCGCAAGACAGGATGCCACTGGCCTTCCTGGCCACAAGAAGAGGGAACCACAGGACAGGGGAGCCTTAAAGCTGAGAAAAGGTAAAACATGGAGAAAAATGGGAAACATGGGATGGAAGAGAGCTGTCGGAGATGGAGATGGAGGACTGGAAAGCAAAGAGCACATCCTTACAGGCAGGAGTGGGGCTGCGCGACCCCAGCTTGATTCTCCAAAAACTGGAATAAAGAACTCAAATTGTACCGGACTGTTTACCGTTTTAAAGATCATATTTTAAGGTTTCTCCTTTGTTCCAGGCAGCATTTGTAATAGAGAGAAAGCAATAGGAAGATGCATCTCATCTCGCTGCTGATTGTCGAACCGGACCAATTGCTTTTGGTTTGGGAGCCAGGATGA